TTCTTAGCAAAAAAAACCCCCAAAAAACCTCACCAAGCAATTAATGCAATGGGTATAAGATATAATGAGAACTACTGAACAAAAACACTGCTTCCTTTGTTTTCACGTATCACTGAAGGAATAACACCCTGGCACTCTCTTCTGTCTCTAAGTATTTTTTTTTCTCTAGCAAATGTTGTAATTAAAGGATTATTTTCATTGTGATGGCAAATGCTCTAGCTTGTCTGAGAGCATGTGTATCTTTACATCTTTTTCTCTGAATGAGTTGTTAAATGCTGAGAAATCTTGCCATTTTCCTGTGAAATAGTTGCATATGGTCCTCTTAGACTTTCAAGACAGGATTCTCTCCTTGTTGATGAAAAATGCATTTTGATCTGGCACATTTTTGTCTTATAAATGTGAAGCTTGCTGACTTTAACTTCCAGCTGCAAGAAAATAGCCTTTTTTTCCCCTGTTCAACCAAAGGCTTGCTAGTGTCTTTTGTGTTCTGAACACTTACTGACAGATTACTTTAGAAATAATTTCCAAATATATCTCCTGAATCTGGAACACTGGAACTGCTCTCTGGCATGTGTGATACCTCCTTAGTTCTTACAGAGTTCTATAATTGACTAAGGATTTAATGCAGTGCATTCAAATCTGGATTCTTCTTCTCTCTGTGTCCTAGATTACTCTCTGTTCAGCGTTTAATTGATACAGTTTTATATACTTATAAACTGTTATCTTCCTTCTGATGCCTCTTCGTATGTTTTTTTTTTTGTTGGTACTGAATTGGCTATTACAAAACCTGTAAATCTGTAAGTGGGTCAAGGCTTTTGTGTTTTTTTGGGGGGAGGGCAACAGGGCCATCCAATAGTACTCTATTGTTTGACATTAAACAGAATCTGTCACGAACAAACCATCAGCTGTGGAGAGTTCCTAGCTTAAGTGCTGTGCTCTTAAGTAGAGATAGCAGCTAATTTAGTATTGCTAATTTCATCTTTGGTATGTTTTCTAGCTAGATGAGGAGATCTCAGGAATTATTGAAGTAGTGGGAAGAGTAACAAATCAGGCAACCATCATGTGCGTGTCATACGTCCAGTTCAGAGAAGATAAAAGTCCATTTGGTGAGTAAGAATATACATTATAACAAATTCATTTTGAGATCTGAACTCTTCTTCAGTAAATACGAAGGGAGAGCCTGATTACCTTTTCTTACAGACGAGGTCTCTCTTCAAGCTGCCAGATATGGAGCCGGGTGTAGAAAAGGAGTGTCATGAGAAAAGTTCTGTACCAAATGTAGTGGTTTGTGGTTAAACTGTAGGGAGTTACTCAAAGCCAAAGCCAGTCTTGATCATTGCCATGCTCTGATTTTTCTCCCACTCCTGTTGGAGTGCAGTTCTCACCTTGGCCTAAACTTAGTGTGATTGTGCAGCCACCAGGCCTAAAAATAACCCTCCAGAAAACAAGGAATAAGTGTTGCTGTCTTGGGGAAAATGGGAATTTGAGGGAGACTGGGATCACTCAGCTATACTGCTTTAAAATAAGCAGTGCTTTAATGTTGTCATTGACTTCTGGGGAATTTAGCTTATGCATCATAACCATTTTCTTTGCCCTCTTTCAGATCTGGAACTCTACAATGAAGCACTAAAAATTATTCATGAATTCCCTGAATACTTCCCATTTGGTACTGGGAGGAACACTTGATTTTTCTTAGCATATATTTATTGCTTCAGGGGTGACAACAGTACCTGACAGCATGGTAACAGTTGCATTTATTTTCAACAAATATACCGAAAAGATGCTGTTACATGTGCTAAGTATTGCCAATGAAGAGCATTTTCTTTGCAAATGTATTTATTCAGCAAGGAGAATACTTCTGTGGATGTCTTGCTCACTGTATATATCTAACCCTTTTGCATCCATGAGGAGTGTTCTCTTACAGGATTAGATGTGGCAGAAACAGAAGTTTTGTAAGAATCCTTTTGTTATTAGGAGAGGTTCTAGGATATTTTACTGAAGTAATTTGGTGGGGTTTCACTATAAAGATTTTTAATTTCAGTTGCTTTGATACAAATTTATTGAACAGGGGGCAGTATTTTGGATTTTGAAAATGGTCTCAACCAATAAAAAAGATCTCACACTTAACTATTTGTGTCAGTATTGCTTCTTAGAGTGCTGTTTTCAGTGATATATGGTGACTCCTGTTCTACTTTACCTGAAACTGTTAAATATAACAAAGTGGAGTACAAGGTACTTGTCTTTTGCACTGATGTTAACCACTTGGAATATGTCTAGTTAGTCTTGGGGATTTCAAGCACAGTTGACTGCCCATCACAACCTTACTTCTTGATGGGAATCTAAGCAGCAGTACCAGTATTCAGCCAGCGTGTCATGATGACTTTAACAATAGGAACTTCTGCACAGTTCCCAATTTTGTTACTATCCAAGCTACTTACACAACTCATAGCAGAATTTTTAAGGTCTCTTAAGGTAGCACAATCAAAGTAAAATCAAGCTTTGGATATACATTCTGTGAATTACTAAAATATTTCAAAGTATTTTAAATAAACCTTAGCCATGTTCATTAAACTTTCATACAAACAGGTTTCAGGTTTAGTAGCTAGATTTAGTGCCTTAATAGGATTGCTAGCTTTGTACTTATTTATAGACGTCTTTTTTCAGTCAAGGAATTTGTTTCAAAGACTTATTAATCAAAATTACTACAAATTGGGGAGATGATCAATTTAACAGGGGATCTATTTTTTAATCCCTCTCTACCTCGAGGACAGACAGTGACACAGTCACTGTCACTAGGAAGGAGGAGGCTTTCTAAGTAGGAGTCAATCTCATAAGCAAACAAGAACACAAGGTCCATGTGGCACTATACCACACTGTATCCTGTAGTGCTATCACTACCACTATTTTAGTGCTCAGCAGAATGCAATGTCATTCTTAATAACTGTGTGCATGTTTTCCTAGTATTTAGAACTATTTTGTTCTATTCTGCTTTAGAAAATTGCTATTTTGTGCATGTACACAGTCTGTAAATAAAGCAGCCTACCACTAGATGGCTTTAGTATTTTAGAGGGACCATCCTTGGGTCTGAGGTCTTGTGAGTAAATGTTTGAACGTGGCTCCACTGAGTGTGAAATGCCAGTTTCCCTTTGTCAGTCAAGACTCTTCTTGTTCATGCAGTCCCACAGCAGTGAAGGGTGGCTGGGCAAGCAGGACATAACGAAAAGTTTCCCCTACTTTTCATTTATCTGCTTCTCTACAGACTATCAGGCTGTGGGAATAAATGGCCTACCCTGGCTATGTGGCTGTACTAACCAGACAGCAATGCAAGGAATTGTAAAATATTCTTGCTATTAGAGTAATGCTCAGGTCATATATGCATTTACCAGCATAATTTTCCACTGCCAGCTATTCCAAATACCAAGGGAAAGGCATAACCATGGGGCCTGCTACCTGTCAGCTAGGACTGATGGTTAGCAGGGCCCCAGGCATCACACACACAAGGAAGGTGAGAGAAACTACCACAGTCATAGATAATAAAATGGGAAGTAGTGGCAGCAGGGGTCGCTGAGCAAAGGGGAGTCACCAGGGCAATTGTATCATAAACATCAGAGAGGGATGTCACCAAAGCCAGGGCCAGCAGCAGGACCAGTAATGGAAGGTGTGAATAGCTGGTGGCTTCTTTGGGAGGACATGAAGCTGCTAAAAGGCAGGAATCTGGGAGAGGAGAGAGGGGTATGAAGTGAATTATGTAATCAGAGCTGACTGAGAAGATCATGTCATTTGGGACAGGACTGCTCCCACCCCGTTCCTGAGTGACTTCTGAGATCTGGCACCTTTTTTCAGGGCTCTTGGCTGACCCTGCTCACCTGCTCTGCTGTCCCTGCTCGGGACACGGGCACAACTCCTGTGGTGCTCATGTGTAAACAGCCTGTGGATATGATGATAAAGTGTTTTTACTCAATCAAGGAAGGGAGGGCAGGCTGGAGCATCTAAGGAAATGGAAACAATGAAATGTAATCGGCCTGAACCACAGGGACAAAACATGCTAGCATGCAAGGCCACCTTCAGCAGATACCAGGGAACAATAAATATAAAACTGCAGCTAATAAAATGAGTGTAGCTATAGTTTTTGTTAAAGACAACAAATCACCCCCAAAAGCACAGCTTTATTAATTTAAAAGCAAAAAAAGGAAAAAAAATCGGATCATTAAAAAACATACAGCTCTTGCTCTGTAAATTTTGCAAATAGTGTAATTACTGGCCTAAAAGCCTGATTACTATTTAACAGCCAAAACTGATAGCAATGCTGTGCCAGAATATGCAGCCTCCATAATCCAAAACATTTCAAAGACATGATGAGTATCGAAGTGAGCATTTAATTTAATCTAATGCAATGACAGAATTTGACACAAACAGGTATAAAAGCTTTATTACCTATATTTATATAAATAGGGTACCATACAGTAAGCCCCAGTTTACATTTATAAATGGATAACATTTTGAAGAGCTCTTCAACAGCAAAATGAAGTGTGCAAAAATACTGGAAAAAGAAATAAATATTCTAACAAGAAAAAAAAGGAACTGCTCTCCTATGCCTAAAAGTATCAAGTACCTCTTAGATTTTTAACTTAAAAAAGATTGTTTTCAATTAGGCAAGAATTTTAGATCAGAAAATATGCAGCGGATTTATTACAACATTAATGCTAAATCAGAAAATGTAGCCCAAAGTCCTGAATGTAACCTCGTATTCCACAAAAAACACTTCCACATTCTATCTTCTTGAAACTACATTGAGCATGTAAAACTAGTGGTATATTACAATATATTCTCTTAAAACACCAATTTTCACAGTCCTGGCAATATAGTACCAGTTTATTGCTAGCATTCCATTTAGTATTTTATAGCACACAAGTGTTAAGTAACTCATATACTATAAATAAACACACACCAAGTAAACTGATGTTATTATCATATACCTTAAAACAGGTTTGGGTTTTTTCCCTAATTTGTGTGAGTTTTGTTGCCTGCAAAATCGAGGACAACAATACCAATTAGCTCCTAGCACAAAATACCATTGATGCTCTCTCAAGTTAATAAATAATCTTAATTCCAGCTGGTTACTCATCTAGAGCTAGACTGATAAATTACTTAAAATTGTGCAGCCTTTTGGGAGCAGACTAGTGTCTGCTGGTGACAAGAAGCAGGATTTATATAGGTTGATTCCACACTTCCCAGTATATTTCAGAAGTACGGTGAAATCCTGATTATCCCAGAGTCTTCAAATATTTTTGTAGTCAAAACTCAGCATGTAGTTTAAAATAAATATTTACAAGTCTCCAGTCCTTGAGATTTCAGGTCTCCACAGTACTAAATTAATCACTCAACTAAAAACCTCCTATAGTTTATCTGCACTCTGCACTGAAACAGACACATGACTTCTCACTCAGGGAACTCCTCTCTACAGACTTCACTAGGAGAGCAAACCCCCAAATTCTTTAGCTTTATAATTCACATCAGCTAGGTATGTAGGCAAATTAAATAAGAGCTTGAATGCAAAGACATTGCTTTACTATGAATAAAACTTCGGGCCAGGAAGAAATGGATTTTTCTTTAAAATAACCTTTAGAATACAGTTAACAGTAGCATTTTAAATGAAGTTATGAGGAAACCATCATTTGAATACAAGAAAGTGTGATCAAACAATGAACAGAGGAATCCACAGCATCACTTTGCCATCTTCTGAAGGACACTTTCCAAGTGTTTATTTTGAGGGTCCTCTTTCACAGCATATAAACACAGCTTTGGGGCTGATCAGCATTATCCTGAAAACAGTCTTTGGATTTCAGTAAATCCAAAGAGTCCACAAATCCAGGAGTGCTTTTCTTCAGTCCTCTGAATAAGGACCACACACTACAGAGGCTCACTTCAGGAATACCTGTTTCTACCAAGCACACTCATACACACATAATTTTACTAATTTGATAGCGTTTTATTTTTTTTTTCCAGTCAGTAAGTCACAAATTACCTTTGTCTAAAATATATGCTTGGACTATGATGGACATCCATTGGAGAGCCACATATTTTTAAACAATATTTATGCCTGGACAGTCTCTGCTGGAATGAGATTCCCTGTTGTATCCAGCTGCATACACTTACAAGAGCAGGCAGAAACCGGGCACTCAGTATGGTCTCTAAGTAGCAATAACAGAAAAAAGAAAAAACAGGTAAAATAATTTGGCAATCTACACATTTAACTATGTGCAGGGGTGTAGTATCTCAGAAAAACTCAGCATCATAGTTCAGTTTTATTATTTAAACATTATAATGATAGATACAGCAAAGGAGGCATGTCCTACTCAGTGCAGCACACACATGTGAAATAACTAAGATTTTAACATCAACTTACCTGAACCAGCTCAGCATATGTCCAGCATGTCCACCATGCCTACAGTTGTGACACCAAGTAAACCAGTTGCTGAACTGGGCTAACTTCTTGTCTTTGCTAAGATCCACTTTTTCATCTGACTTGGATCCTCCTGTGCAGAAGCAAACCCACCCCCACAAATACAGCTGTAAATCATTAGACTTCATTTATATTTCAGCCCCAGCAACACTATTAAAATAAATTTGAAATTAGGAACATTATGTGAAGAAGCAGCCTGATTTTAAAAGGGGAGTCGGTAAAATTATTAAGAACTGGTGGAATGCCAAAACAAGAATTATATTACTGAGCTGTTGTTTCACATCATACGGACATGCTAAACTTGCCTATTAAGCAAATATTACAGACAAAATGTCTTTCAGTGGTGATTTATGTTTCAGTCATTGATTTATGTTCCAGTGAATTATGGGCCTGTTCTGCTGCACATGAAATGTTCTGCTTTAGAAAAAAAATCAACAAAATCTAAGTTAGGAATTAGAACAAGTACAATATAGAAGTCCTCACACAGATCAGAGAAAGAATGAGAAGAGATATAAACAGATAACAATTGCACAGCTGTTTGTGGCTCTCTAACAAGACTGTCTTAAAAATATGGACAAAATCAGTTTCATTTAGATCTTACATAATGCTGAGCCCAAGACATTTAGAACCAAAAGAATTCTAGTTGTAATATTTTTTAGCTGTGACAGCATGACCTATACTGTCTTTCATACTTAGTGACAGAAAGTACACATCAAATTTATTCTCTCTTCCTCTTGCAGCTAAAAATTAATTCATTTACCTTGTAAGATTTATGTAGCAGCCTACAATTCATCTCAAGAAAACACATTCTCCATTTCTTTCAGTTCTAAAGCTCACAATACTGACCTCCAGAATACTTGAATCTTTACATCAGTCTAACTATGGAATTTCACTGACAATCTCATTGGGAAAACTGTCAGAACCAAGTAACTGTGCATATTGTCTGACCCCAAAGAACAGAAACAAAGGTTTCATCACAAAATCAGATGGGATATAAACAAGTTCTTAATTATGGTCTTTCTCCCTTCAAAATGATGAATATGAATACTTACAGTATGAGCAAAACTAGAAAGAAAAAAGTGCAACAGAAGATCTTCCAATAGGAACTGCTAATGAGGCCTCTAACTACTACTGCAGCTGAGTAACTAAAACCCACTGTGTCATACCTGGACAGCTGGAAACTGGTGTTCCCATATTTATCAAGCAAAGTGCACAGCGAGGAAGGGGCTTACGGCAACCAGGACAGCTTGTAACTTTTGACTTAGTTGGAGAACCACTGACTCCATATTGGCTAAAACCTCGCCCCTGATGAGGAATAGCTGAACAGCTGTAAGAGATTGATTTTCCACAGAAATTGCAACTCACAAACACCTAAAGAGAACAAAAGCCCATTAATTTTTTTTGTTTGGTTCCACTTTTGCTGCACCTATGAGTGAACCCATTCAAACTAGTAAACATTTATTTACCAGATATTCTAGCCAAGGAAAGCCAAGGCTACTTGTGAAGGAGTTCTTAACATCTTGGCTTATAGATGTGGCACACAGCTCTGAGGACTATGCCTTAACAATGCTCTTATGTACTTCAAAAGCACATAAAAACATGCACAACTCCTAAAACTTCGAAAAGTATTATTTAAGATAATAAAAAGCTACATCTGCAGTAATGGAAGAAATTAAGTTTACTTACTATATAATTGTCTGGTCTCCCTCCTTATAGTAGGGTGACTCACTCTAGAGTCCCCATCTTAAGGATTATCCTAATATTATTTATCTGCACCCCTCAGGCCACAAGTTGTGACTTGATACCAGGGAGCACATATTTTAAACTCTTTAGGGGCTATTTGTGTTAAGCACATAAGGAAGAAACAATAAACTCAACTCCCTTCCACTTCGAGCAGCACAGATGCAGCTCTCCCTAAATAGCTGTGATGGATACATGAATTAAAAAAACAGCCTTCCTCAGAAATCCTCAGGCCCTAGAACTTGTAATGAACATACTTAGAAGACATGAGAGAGTAAAAGGTGCTGTGAGTAAAACCATTTTGGCTAAAAATGCCACCAGATGTTAAGAAGATAGCATTTGGGCAGGACGTTAGTTTTTGGGTCAGCTTATGTTCAGAACTGATAATGAAAGTTGTTGCTGTTCACTTTTAGTTCCAGGTTCAAGGGCTTCAAAATAGCTTTGAGGTTTGGTTCAATTAAAACAGAGCAATTTGAGCTAGTTCCCTGGTTTCAGCGTCATTTTCACTGACGCTGAATTCAGCTTGGTGATGCATCTCTGATTTTGTTTTTCAACATGTAAGGAAAAAAACCGAAGAGTTTCCAGTTTCCCCAGAAAAAAAGGTGTTGATAAGTCATAGGTGCTGAAAGACCTGTTACTTAAAAGAAAAAGTGAGAGGTTCTTGTTTTAGGGCAGCCTTAGCTGAAATCCTTCTTTTGCACACAAACTGTCCTGAAAGCCAAGGTGCAGGCAGCAACTTTTTTTTTACGGAAGTGCTATGCCACATTTCTTTCTGGGCTGGTCATACTTCATACAAGAATTACATTTACCTGGGCTAAAGGCTTTGAACTGGGATCCAGCTTACTCCTGTGGATATCAAATTCTGCACGTTTATGCCAAAATCTCCAAGCATCTAAGAGATTCCTGTAGTTCTCAATCCAGTACTGAACTCTTTCATCCTTAAGTACATCTGATGGAGAACCCTAAAGCAGGCAGGAAAAAAATGTCAGATGCACAATACCTATTATTCACTTTTTCAAAAGGCTTTGCAAAATGCAGTGTAATTTGTCTTAAAGAAGATGAATTTTCTGTGAGTTTGATAAAGGTTTTCTTCGGTCTGCCTCTCTGGTTGAAAATACTTGTGCTGCCACATCCTCCTAAGAACTCATATCAGTGAGATGAAGGATTTGAAAGTTCTGTCATATATGACAATCCATATTACTGTTAAGATTACATATGCATTTAAATACTGTGCTGGCAATAGCTGCTACTGTGTAAGGGCCAAGATAAGTCCATCATTAAAAAACCCAAATCCAATGCTTACAGACAAACAAAAACCCTCACCTTTGTTCTCCATCAAAATCCTGGAAGGAAAAAAAATAATGCACCTGTCAGGAAACACACCAGCAATAAGGAGAGAAATGAGTATTCCCAGTTTAACTAGTGAAAAGGACAATGATTTCCTTTTGTCTCTTTACCATCTCAACCAGAGGGTGTAAAGACACGTGCTTGTCATTAACACTTAGTGTTTCAGATGGCTCCACATAACAGGCACAATATATATTGTCCCAATTTAACACAGAAAACACTTTTTAGTTCACAAGATTAGGTACTACACTGATAAAGAAACTATGTTTTTTTTCTCCTCTGTAAAGCTTTATTTCAAGTGAAACACTAACCTGTAGCATGCAATAGCTTGCTGTCTGGACATCTCCAGTTCTGTCAACATAACTTTCCATCAAGTCAACCCCGTCTTTTGTCAGCCCTGTTAACAGTATTCCCTCCAAATTCCCAGCCTCCTTCATTTCATTCGTCAGCTTTTCAATAAACCTGTTCAGCTATAAAAAAAATACATAAGTAAATATATAAATATATATAAAAAGAGTGTCTTCTGCTAACAGAATATGCTGCTTGCTGGATGTTACACAGAAAATGTTAAACTATTATACTGTACTGCATTGCATGAAATCAAGTATTTATAACGAACTTTAAGCTTCCTAATAGGAAGTGCAAAGAGGGAAGTTATGTAATCTTTAAATACTTCGGTGAATCTAAAATAAAATGTTCCTGCTGTAAAACCAAACTTTAACTTGAGAGAACATAAGCATCTGGAAATAACCACTGAATAAGTACAAACACTCTCCAGTAAAACAGGTCTACAGGTAATGCAATAGCACTTAAACTACCATGTGATGAATACTAATAGAAAAAACCAAAACAACAAAACCAAACAAAAAATATCCCCTGAACCAACCTAGCAAAAACCAAACCAAAAACCAAGCTGAAGGTACAAACCAAAAACCAATACCATACCTTATATACTACTGTGATGACAAAAACCAAATCACACATGACTCTACTTCCAGTGTTCGCCCCTCTACCCCAGAGTTTCTTCTCTGAATAAAGACCAGTTTAAAAGTTTGCTTAGAAGTGCAACCACAAACTCACCTGAGCATCATTGAGAAACTTGCAAGCAAATGCCACTCTGTCTCGTACAGCCACATTATTTTCATACTTCAGAGAGAAAAATGGGAACATTAACATCACATGCAAGTTTCCACTTTTTCAATACATTATAAAAATCAGAGCATTTCCACTACTGTGTAACTAATACAATGAAATCAATTGTGTAAAAAGAAAACATGGCATCTGAAGAAAGCTGACACTAAGTATAGCACCGTAATGGTTTATACTCAGAGGTATCAGAGGAAGACTGGGGCTACTGGAACAGTCTGTGCAAATGGCAGGAAGGCCTCCTACAACACATCCTCCATTGTTTATGAAACTCTACAAAAAGAAACTTTGCAAGTCATGTAGTGCTGGGCTTAGTGCTTCAAGCACAAATAGCCAAGAGTTCACCAAGTCACAGGCGAAAGAAAAACAAACTATTTTCATATTTACAAAATCTCCCACTAATTCCTCTCTTCCTTTTCACCCTACTCCTTTATCCAAAACCCACTGCTGTGTGCTTCTATAGTCAATCAGGGACTAACATATCAATTTCCACACCAACTGTGTAATTTACTAATAAAACTTTCTGACTGTGAACCCTCTGACTTTTGTTGTTCCTTTCGACCAATGAGCATTTATGAATCTTAGGTGCTTCCTTCCCCTTAAGGGTGAGTAGTCACATTTATCATATTTGAAAAATAACTAGCCTAACCACTCAATTCCTTCCTAAAATTGCAAATAAAAGTTAACAAAGTAAACAAAACACCCCATGCAAACAAAAACTAACTCCAAACACCCAGAACATGAATTTCTCAGAAGTATATTGACACTCGAGGTGCAGTGATATTTACTTTCTGCTTTTTAAGCCTTTTACTAGATGAGATACTGAAGAAAAAAAGAACTGGACTAGATTAATTCTGGTACTTAGCTATGCCCACACTTTTCCCTCTTGATATGCTCAGAATAGAAACTGTGATTGACATTGCCAAAACAAGATGTGCTTGACAAAAATCTCTTTCATGCAAACTTCAACAAGTCTTAGTGAAGGAAAAATTAAAATAACAACAAACAAATAACACCTTATGATCAGTGAGTTTCCAATTAATCAATAAAAACCTAGAAAATTACTACCAGAGAACAAGAATACTCTCTTTCAAAGAGAGAAAAAAAGACTGAGGTTTCTCTCCTCTGGGATTCTAATCTTTTATTTATTTTATTACTGTAAAAGCGTCATATTATGGCAACTTTGTTTTCAACAGCTTTGGGCCAATTACCCTGTTGCATTACAGGAGTCCTCCCTTGGGCTAAATAATTCCTACTGATTCAAGTATTTCTGTTGTTCGCTAACCAAGAATCAAGTATGTTACTTCTCCAAAGATTCAAAGTATCTCATGATTAAAGATTTAGTTTGCTCTTCACATGGCAATTCTGTATCAATTTCAGATGTGAAACTGCTCTGCTTACCATTCCTACACAGTGAAATTATTTTAACAAGTAAACAAGGAAAAATAAAATACAATTCAGTGCAAATATAGCTTGGTGAAAGTTCTGCAAACTCCCCTGCATTTATTCAGCTTTTTGCAATTCCATTATTAACCTCTCTCCCCTTTTTACCCACTGTTTAAATTATTTTGATAATGTATTTCTAGTGATTTAATAACTCCATGCCAAAGATAAAATCCCTCTAAAAAATGTGTGAACTATAATGGATATTTTGGCTGTTTATGCATGATTTGTTCACTAACACAATATTCACTAATATGAGATGTCTGTTTAGAAGAAACAAATGCTATTTGCCAGCATCAGGATAAAAGAATATATTCTAATCTGATTAATTCATGGAGTATATAGCACTTCCCCTACATGTTTCCATAAGCTCCTATTACACAGAGGAATTTTAAACTAACAGAAATTTACTTACCAAAACACCGTCATATGAACCAGACTCACTTGTCAGGAAAGCAAACATTGCACACAAGTAGGGATTGTTCAGTTGCAGTCTCAGAGTACTGCACATTTCTCTCCAAAGTGAGTTCTTCTCATCTGTGTAGCCTGACAGAGCCATTGCTACTACGTTAAGGTTCAGATCACCTGATTTATGAAAAGCAATCAGTGAAACAGTATTATTCAAGTTAAGGACTTAAAAAAATCCAGTTAAAACTGTAATTGAAAGCATCCATTTAAAACGCAATGTTTTGTCAGGATGCAAGACAAAATGCAGTAGAATTAACACTAGCTAAAATAAATGTGCATACACTAGCATGTATGCACTTGTTTCTGCATTAAATGCCTCTGTTCAGGTAAGTTAACATCTCTAAAAGTCACAAGCCACAACAGCCTCATTACACTTCAAACAACATCACACTGGTTCTGGTATCTTGAAATAGCTATCAAAAAAGATTGTCATTATCATAATTCATATCCAGAAGAAGTGAAAACCAGGATTGTATATCCAGCCATCGCTTAACAGATCTAGCTGGAGGATGACAATGTTATATAGCAGTTTCAAGTTAAGAAAACATGAAACTATTTCATCTAAATATTCATTCTGTCAGAAAGTTCAATTTTATTCTTGAATTTGAAGATAGCATGTCTTCAATCTGAACCCCTCCATGAAAACCAGAGATAGACACTCACACCCCCACTAAAAGGGGAAATACTAAAAATAAAGGAATCTTTAGAGCTTGTCTTGTCTTACCTACCCATTTTAGTGGCACAACAGTCTTTCTAATTTAATAGAGAACACAGATGCAAAGCAGTGCTGTAGGAGGAATACTGGCAAGAAAACAGAACAAAGCCACTTCCATCTCCCGGATCCAGTGTCTTAACTTTTCCATCATACACCGCAACTCTTAATAGATATTACCCCAAAACAAATGTTTTCTGCAGATCCCAAACATTATGTTTTAATTATTCCACAGCCACTGCACTGGCAATGCAGCCCAATAGAAGCAGATTTACATGACATCCAGCCAAGAAGCAAATCCATTAAAGTAAAAAAATCCCACTAGTTCCGAATGTATGTCTCTCTGGGGTTTGTATCAGTAAGAAATTCTGAAACATCTGATCTATTTTAATTAGACAGTATGACATATGGTAGTCTGAGGAGCGAAATACCAGGATTGTCAGATTCTCAAGCTCCAATACAACTGCTTCAAGTAACAACTTTATAAGACAACAGGCATCTCTTCCATACTATCTTTCATAATTCTGTTAATAGAAAAAAAATCTACTAATCTGATACAGTGCCAGAATAGAAGACACTAAACACAATACGCACCTTTTCCTGAGATAGCCCCTTTATGTAGAATTTGTATTGCTCGCCGTATGTCCAAGTTGAAAAGTGCTACAGCAGCAGCTCGTTCCCAGTCTCCTTCCTGTTCCAATGAATTTAGAAAAGGTTCCACATCTAAGTCTGTTCCCTTCTTTATCCACCCACAGAGTTGCAAAGCCAAGTATCTCTCCTCACTCAGATATTGAATAATATCTGCCTGTCTATCAGATCCACTCCTGCTGTGCCTGAGGTTCTCTGTTGTTCCTAGAAATGGGAAATAAGTTAAATTATGCTTAAATCACAATTTACATCGCAATCACAACATGAGGCTTTCATTTCAATCATAATGCAGAGTGCAAAAGCTGAGTGTTATTTTTCAGTACTTTAAATTAACAGTGCTTACAACTCCACAGTAAGGAGCAGCATACACAAAATTATTTTGATCTGCTAAAAAAAAAAATGCACCTAAACTTGACACACATTCCCCACTAAGATATTTTTTGTTTCCTCTACCTCTTGTTACAGTTGACAGGGCTTTTCATTACGTTCAAAATGAAAATACATAATACACAGTCAAGCACCTGCTCTACCAGTTTTCTTCTTAGCCAGCATCAATGTGCTAGAAGCTTTCCTACCACTGAAGACTTATTTTTTGGTCCAAGGAGCATATATATTAAAAAGGCATATAATGAATAGAGAAGATTCAAATAATAGATTATACTAACAAAAACTTCAGTGAGCACGAGAGGCTGAATGTGATACACCAGGGGCAATTACCACTTCAGAACAGGACAGCTTATCTAAACACAGTTGTGCAAACGTACTTAATACGTTAGCAGTAACTACAGTAAAGTCACATTCCTAGAATTATATCCAGATGTAGAGCTTTGGAAAATAAAACAGTCTTGTGGGGAGCAAGAATTCTCAGTGCCATAGTCAAAACTCACTATGTCTGAAATAGTTAAAAGATTTATCTCTGAGGATATTATGCTTTTATGATTACTGAACACTGAAAATTCTGGAAATTACTGTAATATAAACTGTTAACTGACATTATTAATACACAAACAGAAATACTTTGTTTCAATATTTGTAAATAGCCTTTTTGGACAATTATTAAAGATAGACCAATGAGTGCATCACTCTGCAAACATACTACAACAGAACTTAGCAAAATTAGAACATTCTTACCCAAAGATGACTTCACAATTGATTTAATGCCAGCATAAACTAAGGGACCTTTGTTTCCTGTAAGTTTTTGATCCATATCTTCAGTATACTGCTTCATAAGTATTTTCATGTATAGGAAGCTTAATTTTTCCCAAGTGTTTGAAAAACTGTTTTTAAAAATTTAAGGTCACATCCTGTTAACATGCAAAGCATTTACAGGATGTTACATTATATTTAAAGATTTTAATGCATTTCATATAAGTGGTTTACATACAAAGGTATATTACTTCTTTAGGACAGAAACTACAGTAAAATAAAGGATATAATGCAGAGTGTACCAAAGCGATTTCAGCTGAGGATCTTCATTTCCAGCTAGGAGGTGATTTCTCCAAACTTGTTCAGTATCAAGACCATACCTTGACAGAGCTCTGAGCCGCATTTTGGTTGCTATGTCTTTTTCCAAGGAACTAGCCTTTCCTTCTTCTGTACACTCATACAAATGTCGTCCACAAGCCCACATTAAGGATGTCACTGGACTCCATGCAAGAGAAATTCTTTCAAAAACTGTGAAGTCAGACATAGTCCTGTTGGGGGTCACTACTACCATTCGGTTTTGACTTGTGGGATGCCAGGCAAAGGAAGCAATGTAATTTTCACAAGGTTGGACACTTCTTTCAATTATCGTTGGCTCAGTTTCATCTCCAATAGGGGTGGGAGTATGCTGCATGTCATACAGCCTAATGATATTACTATCCCTTGTCAAAGTAGCCAACAGTCCAGTTCTCGTTGGACACCACGCAACTTTTGTTAAGGGTTTTGGTTGCTCTGTCAAGGTCAAAACAGGCTTTTCAAACTTTCTTAAATCCCATATGGCAACCTGACCTTCATAGAAGGAAGCTACACGATCATGGAAATATGGATCAACAGTCACTCCCTGGACAGCCTTAGTGTTTACGAATATTTTTTGGCTTGTGTTCCTTAGATCGAAGATAGCCAGATTTCGATGCATTCCAGCTAACAGCAGCTTCTGATCCCGTGGAAGCCAACAGAGAGAGAGACAAGCATCATTCTGTCCTAATTCATACAGTGGCTTGGTTACTACCAGTCCTGATTCCGCATCACCTGCTGAAAGTCTTACTTTCTCTGTAGCAACTGCAGTCTCTGGGGCATATTTGCTACTGATATCCCAGATCAGCACTGAAAAGTCAGCCCGATGTTTATCTAAGCCAGCAGCCAGCCAATTGCTATCCAGTGGATTCCACGCCAGGGTATTACACTGCCGTGCGTGTTTGGGAACAAACTCTTTGCCTATCAAATCTTTACATTTTGAGTTGTGATCTTGACCAAGGCTGGTAAGTACCACTCGGCCATTGGCCTGTCCAACAGCAAGGAGACATTCGGGATCGTACTTGGGATACCAGGCCACACATTTCATGTAGGGCGTATCCGAGTTTATGGACAGCAGCGTAGCCGTAGTTTCTTCTGACAGCCGCAAGGACCCTGCCTTAAGTTCTGAACTCATAGCAGAGTCGATGTGATAAAGGCTCAGCTCCGAGTCACACACAACGAATCTGTCAACATGGTGCGGGGCCCACAGAATATCAGGTTTGGAGCCACTCATGGTTGGGGTAAGCTCATGCACAATCTAAGCTCTGGTAAGAATATTCAGGTGATATCCATGCATATGAAAACTGTTGAGAAAATAATTTGTAGGAACATTATCAAAACCCAAGTTCTTTTGCAATTTAAGTACATCACTAAACAAACAAAAATATGAACGACTTTTAGCCCAGGGGTTTAAGACGTAACACGTTTCAGGCAAAAACCTTAAGCATTCTCTGCATTACATAATTTTTCTCACAGCACACTTTGCTGGCATGTACCTACTAAGACAGAACCAACACAGCCACTTACAAACTGATGACAACAGGATTTGCTGTGTTTACAAACTCCACACCAGTGTTAAGCAAGAAGACATTAACCAAGATGGAATGTGGCACAATTCGTGGGTGGGATGCAGGGAAGGAGCCACTCCCTCAAACATCTAGAAGATAATTTCTCTCCCTAATTGAAGGGCATTAGTTGACAAAAATTAGAGTCTGTCTGTTTTATCTGAAGCCTGCTCCACAGCCTAGAAAGGCTTGCTCTCTTTGAAGATTTCTATAGAAACACAACTTGTCATCTTATTGTATAGCTCCTGATGCCACCCCCTGCCCAATGTAACCTTGTCTTCGTTCGTATCTGGTCCAGCAACATTCAAAAAGGTTTAACATCACTGTTAAACTCCATCTACACTCTCAGTAGCTTCATGCCCAGAATCATCACGCACGCTTACCTACAAACAGATCCCACAAACGTCTTTTATAACTGGGGAAAAGGACATGCTGGATTGGGAAGTATGAAAAGATAGCGGTATTTACTTTCCCCGGGCCTGTGTGTGCCTGCCCGTCCTCCACACCGCCCGGCTTCTACGAGCTCCGAGGGGCGCAGGGGCCCCTCAGCAGCCCCTTCCCGGCAGGAGCCAGGACGCTGCCACCCTCCTTCTCTCCCTCCTTCCCACCTTCCCGGGCGCAGCAGCTGCTCACCCACCTCGCGGGACCCTCCAGCACCTCCACCGCCGCCGCCGCCGGTGAGAAGGGGCGGGGGAGAAGACGGCGACCCGCCAGCCCCGCCGCCTGAGAGGAAACACGGGAAGCACACGCGGGTTTCCGGCGGCGGGGGCGGTGCGGAAGGAAAAGCGCGGCGGTTCCGGCGCGCGCGGCGGCGGGAAACGGGAAGGGGAAAGGGAAGCTCCGCCTGGCGCGGGGCGGGGCCGTGACGCACTTCCGTCCCCGGGCCGCGCTCTCCCATTGGCCGCGGGAGCCCCGCCCTCCCCGCGCGCCTCAGAGCCCCGGGACTGGTCGCCCAGGGAGGTCGCGGAGCGTCCCGGATTCGGGCTGGTCGGGAGCCGTCTGGGTGCAGTCCTGTGCCATGTGCTCTAGGATGACCCTGCTTGAGCAGGGAGGTTGGACCAGGTGGCCCACTGTGGTCCCTTCCAACCTGACCCACCCTGTGATTCTGTGACCTTAAAAATATCCCCTTCCAGTCACCCCCCGCTTCCCCATGGGCAGGGACACCTTCCCCTGGGCCAGGCTGCTCAGAGCCCCAACCAACCTGGCCTTTGACACTTCCAGGGGTGTGGAGTCCGCAGCTTCTATGGGCAACCTGTGCCAGTGTCTCACCACTCTCACAGTGACAAATTTCTCCCCCATATCCAATCTAACCCTACCCTCTGTTTCTAGGGCCCTACTCAAGTAGCCAAAGCATGGGGTTTTGTGACTCCATTTCATCTCCAGGAAACCTGTTCCAGTGTGTGATGAAACTCAGAGTCATAAAGTTTTCTTACTTATAAACTACCTGGAAGGAAAAAAAAAATATATATTTCCTTGCTCCCATATTATTAGAATTTCACAACCTGCTTTTCTTCAAGCTGCGGAGATGTGAATTTTAACCTTTTCTCCTTTTGTTTATAATGCTCTTCAAACTTGTCCAAAATAAAAATTACAAGCTGAAGTATTAATTGGACAATTTCAAGTTCTCTCTGAATAACTTCCTTCCTCATATAGAAACTAATATTTGGTCTGGAAATATTTAGATGTCACATTTGTATTTATTTATCAATGTTAGAGTCAGGATCTTAGTTCTTTATTTTAGCTGCTTCTCTTATTTCTTTCTTTTCTCAGAAAAGAAAGGGAATGCATACTCTTTGGCTTCCTTATTAAATATTTTCCTATTTTTTCTTTTGAATTACAGTAAATAATTTGTAATGGTGTTACCAGTGTTTTTATAGCTTTTCAAAAATTTTTAAGGAAAATGTATGATAAAGTACTGCCTATCCATCTTTTCAATAACCTCCCTGTGTTCAGTGCCTTCAGTTTAAAACATGTGGATTGAGTGGCTTTTAATATCATTTGTGTTAATGTCTGTTTTCTGGTTTTTCTCGTCTCTAAACATACTGGAGAATTTGTGTCATCCAACAAAACTACATTTTGTATGTTAAATTTTCATGGTGTTTATTAATTTAAGCCACAAATGTAATATAACAGTACAACAACTAGTTGGCTTAGATTTCATTCTAATATTCCTTCAATTTTAAAAGCATTTTCCCTTATAAAACCAGCCTTTTTTTCCCCCTTAATAATGGTAGTCTTTAGGTACTCAGCAGTTTTTTTGATAAATAAAAAAGGCCAAGCATTGCAGAAAAAAATAAGAGTAGTTCAAATAGAGTAGCCTATCATATATCAAAGGCAAAATTGGCAGCCTGTATTTTCATGCTTATCTTTTTCATTTTTCATCATTCCATTTCCTCTGCTACTGTTGAAGTGGGACATAGTGACTTTTTCACATCTGTTTCAAATAATCACCTGCTGGTTCTTTTTATGACAAAGATGAAATTCAGTTTGTATGTTCCTAACATTTTACCATGGGAAAGTATGCGAGTTTAGTTTATGAATTTAGCTAACATTTGCAATAAGCACATCATCTAACTTTGATTTTAAGAGTCAGTTCTTTAGGTACTAGTGAATCAGTAGCTGAAGTATCTGAGGTCTCATTTCTTGAGTCCTAATGATGGTCCAAATACACTACTAACATATACACAAACTACAGAAGGGGTGTTTCCTGTGTCTTTGGCACAAGAGAGATTCAGAGAAATTTAAAAATGAAAAATTGTATTTTGAACCAGTAAATGCTGTTACTCCAATGACAGGTACAAAGCAAGTTAATAGAAACGCAAGCTATTTAGTGTTTCAGAATGCACAATATTTTCTGTAGGCACGAAATGGCAACACAACAGATGCTGCACTGTCTGCACATGAAAACTTTGGTCATCTTTGCTTTAGGCTGTCAGTGAAGTAAAAAAATTGCAAAAATTATTCTAAATTGGAATTTTGGGTGGTTTTTTGAGGGGGTTTTATGTGTTTGGCTTTCTTTTAAGGACAACAAGGTGAGCCTGGTCCAAAAAGGAATTGTGGCATTTCAGGAACTGGACTTCCATGAAGTAACGTGAATCTATTTTGAACAATTACTATTTTAATATTTGCTCACTTTTCTGACAAATATAAGTAATAATTTACCTTAAAACTAATGCAAAACATTTCTCAGGTCAGTATTACGTGCGTTCCTAAGTGACACAACAAGACCGTAATTTCAATTCTCTGACAACTCAGAACTGTATTTATTTCAGCAGATTACACTGCCTTGCTGGCACACTCACTGATCACTTTTAACTTCCATTGATTTTGTAGTGCTCAAAAGATCTATGTGTCAGGTACTGGCGTTCCCAATCTGGGTATTCAAAAGAGAGGAATGTATGAAACAAGTATTTAGTTTCTCAGGATCAGGTAAGAACTAAGGAGTAAAAGCAGTTTGTTCTTCCAGGAGATATCCTCCCTCCTTGAAGCCTTGTACTGTAGTCTTTTAATATCTTAGTCTCTAGCTTTCACCTTCTATTAGAAGGACACAAATGTTTTGCCCAGACAGTAGCCTCATTTACCGGGTGTGTGCAGATTAAATGCTGAATGAGTCACCCAGTGTGACTATCATTAAGTCATTGTGCATTATCATGTAGATACACCAGAGGGCAGAATTTAGATACCATTAATATCTTTATACCTTACATATTCAACAATTAAATGATCCTTTTGATACACTTATTGCAATCTGTTTTTAAAAAGGCATGTAATCATGACTCTATTTACACAGTGTATGAATAACAATGACACTGAATTAAGATCTATCTAGTATTAGGAACAGGGATTTTTAAAAACCTTTTTAAATATTTACTTCAAATTGCATCTGTTGGTGATGTCTCCTAGCCAGAGGAAAAAAATCTACCATTCTTTGTAGTAATTATTGTCACTCTTATTGAGTGAAGAGCACACTGGGGTAAAAAATGTAAATTTAAGGCAGTGAGTTTTGATTGATATCATCAACCAAACTGATCCACCGTGTAAGTCCTTTGACACTTTACATTTATGTACTCTAGAATAGTCACCTACTTTCATACTTTTATAGATCTGTATCACATGCACATTCAGTTGTGGCTTTTCAAGCAACAGAATCATAATTTACTTTGTCTTCATACACAAGCTATCTTTTTTCTTTGTGAACTCTCTCTTTTTATTTCTTCTTTACTATTTTTGAGTTGCAGTAATGAGAATAGCAGGAAATATTCAAGAAGGGCAGGTATGTACCAGGAAAGAAAGCCGATACACGACTTTTTCCAATAGAAGAAGTGACTTAACATGAATACAGGAACTAAAGGCTTTTAACCTGAAATTCACTAGCAACATAAAATGAGTTTTACATATAAAACTTCATACTGCAGACCAGAGCTTTAGTATGGTCATTTAATGGGTGCATTTAGACAGATTCAATAGTCATGGGAGCTGTAGGTACTGAGCATCTGGTTCAGAGCATCTGGTTCAGGGCAACCATTGGAACACTGACGTACTAAAAAGCTTTGCAAGAAGTATTACTGTTAAAAACAATGCTGTAAATTTGGAGTCGTAACATCTGTCAGATTTGATTTCTAAGTGAGTACAAAGCTATGAAAATATATACAGACAAGACTAGTGAAAAAAGAAAGCTTTGAATTGTAAATCAACAATCCTGTAATGGAACTGTCAAGATTCTTACTGTACTTCCAAAGCACAGTAAGTAGTGAAGAAGAGCTTAAGCTGTGGCCGGAGACCAATTACACACAACATGCAACAGATTTAGAGATTTTCTAGTCAGAGAAATAAAACCAAACTTGACCTCATTGCTATCCAAATACTGGATGTTTGTCAGAACTACCAGCTTATATGTGTATTTGACCAGACAAATTGTTATGTCTAAAAATCACAAATATTAACATTTTCTGATCTCTGCCAGATAAGAGTCATGTTTGCAGGTCCCCCCCAAAAAAAGATTTCCACATCTGGAAATCTATTTACTTGGTTCTGTTTTGGCACATATCAGCAGATAAACCTTGCTGACTGCTGGAAAAAGTATTCTTCCATAGCTGATGATCCGATAGGCTGTCTACAAGTCTTGATCTAAGAATGAAAGAGGGTAAGAATAAGTATGTAGAGAGTATGGGTGATCCATGTGACTAATTTGTTCCTAATGAAATGCTTAATCATCACCACTGTCTCTAATCCAATAGAGGCTGGATGCTGCCAGTAATTGTAACTTATAGCACTAACAGATATTTAGTTAAAAATATTGTATTCCATTGAAACTCTTTAGGCAACATTTACTTAATGGAGACAATTAACCTCAATGAAGATGCCATATGTCTGACAGAAGATGATGTAGAGGTTTCTAGGAGGTAGAGGTCTTTCAGGAGCTGGCTGCAGCTGCTGGGCCAATGAACTGGGGAAAGAGTGTGAGCAGTGGTTGCAGCTATTATGTTTCTCTGTTAACAGCATGTTCCTTCAGTACATTTCATGTTAACAAACCATGCACAGACTGACAGTTCTGTGTAGGAATGGTACTGTGTACAGTCATATGGCAGAGGTACAGCTCTCACATGCAGCTGTCATGACTAAACCCCAACCAGCAACTAAACACTGCACAGCCTCTTCTCATTGCCCACCCCCAACAGGATGAGAGTAAGAGAATTGGAAGGGTAAAAGTGAGAAAACACGTGTTGAGATAAGAACAGTTTAATAACTGGAAAAAAAAAACCAATAATAATGTAATGAAAAGGAAAATAACAAAAAGAGAAATAA